CCGTTCTCTTGGCAAGTGCCAAACCCAGACACATACATCGGATTGCCAGACAGAGAAGCGTGATTCGTCACTCCAGAGAACACATGCTCTAGAGTCCAGTGGTGGCGTGTTTTACACTGCATCCGATGCTTTGCATTATACTTGGTGATGTATGGCTTGAATGCAGCTACTCGGCCATGGAAACCCATTCCATGAAGCTCTCTACGCACTGTTGTGCTAATCTGAAGACTTCACGAAGTTTGGAGATATTTAGCTATTGACTCGACAGATAGTTGGCGACTTCTGCGCACTGTGTGTGCTTCAGCATGCACTGACCCTACTCGGTCATTTTGTGTGGCCTACCACTTTATGGCTGAGTTGCTGTTGTTCCCAGTTGCTTCCACTTTGTTATAATACCACTAACAGTTGACCGTGGAATATTTAATAGCAAGGAAATTTCACGGATGGACTTATTGCACAGGTGGCAAGCTATCATGGTACCACGCTAGAATTCACTGAGCTCCAGAGAGCAACCCATTCTTTCACAAATGTTTGTAGAAGCAGTCTGCATGCCTAGGTGCTTGATTTTATACACCTGTGGCCATGGAGGTGATTGGAGCACCTGAATCCAATGATTTGGAGGGGTGTCCCAATACTTTTGGCAGTATAGTGTATGTTTAATTTGTATTCAAAGAAATCTGCAATTCTGGCCGGCCACTCTTAGGGGACACACACACACAAGATTACTTAGCTACTTTCTTAACATTACTACTCACTGGGACTGCTTACAGAATCCTTGTCTGTACCGGTCTAACCTGCCAGGTGATGCTGATTCAATGTCCAATCAGGAATATGGAGGCAGACAAGGGAAATTGGAAGCTGAATTCCTGAACCAGGAAGGTGAAGATGCCATAAGACGTGGTACACAACATTAAAAATCCTTGGGCAGATAAACAAGTAAGCATATATATTTTTAGCTCTCTATTTAGATTTGTTTGTGTGGAGTTTCATTTTAACCCCTAGTGTCCTCTAGAGAGGCTGGTTTCTTTCTGCACAAAATGTAGATAAAACGGCTATTTCAAGGGAATGTTTCAGGACAGCTCTCACAGCTGACACCATGTGATGCTGAAGAGGTTTGTATTGCTCTGGAACTAGCACTACATCTGGTAATTAGACAAAGGAAGCCTTCTAGCTCTGAATTATACATTTTGTCTATGACCGGCAGCAACTGTCCTGACAGGCTTCCTTTAAGAGCATGCAAAATATACCTAGATTGTAAGCTCCGAGGATCAGGCCCTCCTATCCCTCTTGTATTGAACTGTATTGTTGCTGTATTGTCTCCCGTTATATTGTAAAGCGCTGAGCAAACTGTTGGCGCTATATAAATCCTGTATAATAATAATAATATACAAAGTAACACACTGTCTGTAATGGACCGCCTGACAGCACCTCTATCAATCCCCTGGCAGAGCCTCCCCAGAGCGCGGAGTCTAAGCACCGGAGCACTTGTTCACCAGGGCCCCTGATGGTGGGGATGGACTTGGAGCGCTCCGGTACCAGGTCGCAGCTGCTAGGTATCTCCAACAGGGGTAGAGGAGTCTGACAGGAGCTCCATGGGGCTAAGAGTCTGATGTGAGGGAGCCTAGTGATCCCTGCGGGATGGATGGATGGATGGATGAGCTAAATCAGAGTCATACAGGCCGGGTGGGCAACTAGCGGGTCGGTGAGGTACAAAACGGTAGGCAAAGGATAGTCGGGTCACACGCAGGGTCAATACCAAAAGATCAGATTTAAAGGGGAGCATCCAGGAGCAGAGTCAGGTAGGCCAAGGGTCAGGACAGGAGATAGCAGCAAGGTCAAACAATCCAGATCAAGATACTCACAACACAGGTAACAGCATACAAAGACCATTCGGCAACAAGTCAAATACAAAAAGTTGCAGCGCTTGAGTGTATAATACAGGGAATTAACATAAATAGCAGAGTTAAACATTCATATTTCGACATGCACCAGATCCCACACTCTTAAATTGATGTAAACAGTAATCAGATAAGTAATGAAGATCTATCCGACTAATCAAGGTGCCTATAGTGATGGGGATGTTAAAGTCATAAGTTCTGTGATGTATCCAAACAAATCCGTGACTTCCGTGATAGGGGAATAACTGTATATTGCACTAACCAGATAGCGCAAGTAAATGCGCATTGGAGTATAATGACCTACTCCTGGTCACAGCCAGATGGTCCTCAGCGTGAAGCCCTCAGGAACACCAGTGCACCACTCTTGCCGTCTCCTACCACCAGGGGGAGTGCGCCTCTTTACAGTAACACGAAATCACTTTATATCCTCTATCGCCAGGATTGGTGTGCTTTCATATCAGGAGATCATCTCAGGGGCTCGGCAATAAGACCCAAAAGAAAGAAATAGTGTAGTATTTTTATTCAAAGGTAAACACGGGGGCACACGCAGGGTCAATACCAAAAGATCAGATTTAAAGGGGAGCATCCAGGAGCAGAGTCAGGTAGGCCAAGGGTCAGGACAGGAGATAGCAGCAAGGTCAAACAATCCAGATCAAGATATTCACAACACAGGTAACAGCATACAAAGACCATTCGGCAACAAGTGTTTGTGCAGAGCTGGCTTAAGTAGCCCGCCCTGCACCTGACAGGTGCAGCCTAGGTCCTAGTGCCTGCCTAGTACTGTCAAGACGACGGGTGCGCCTGGGTCCTAGTGCCCTGCCACCTACACGTCTTGGCAGACACCTACGCCTGTGTAGACCCATGTGTCGCGATGGTCCCTGACACTGTCCTTTTGTACAACCTACATTGATTTGTTGTTATGCTTAAAAGAGATCTATATCTATGCCATATAGTAAGTAAGAGTCGTATGTTTCCATACCATTCTCAAAAATGATCATTCACTGTGCTTTATTCATGCCTGTCCTTCCTACAAAAATGATACACAGTAGCAGATAACTGGAACTACTGCAGAGAAGTCTCTTACATTGATGTGAGCCAATAGGTTATGATGATCAAGTCATATTTCCTGGCGTCAAAATCTCCACTGCTGACCACAGACCTCAGTTGAAACATTCACTAGCTTCTCTGGATACTCATATATATTTTCATTATTATCAATCGCTGGGTTTAATCATAAATCACAAACACATAAATACACATTACATGTTGCTATTTGATAAGATAATTTCCGAATTAGCTAAACATAATTCTATTAGATCCATACAGATCTGCAACATATTAAAAGCATATGCCTTCATTTCACAAACAGTTATATAAGCATTACCTGTATATTAATGCAAAGTGCTTTAAATATTTCTATTGAGAAGTATGGCCCATAAAAAAAAACAAAGCTTATACTCACCTAGAAGTGGATGCAGCATCGATCCAATGCTGCATCTGTCCCCCTCTCGCTTTGCACTGAGAACTGGGAAATCAAACACTGCTGATTGCTCAGTTCTCCCCTCTGAGTGGAGAGCTGTGACTCTCAGTCACCGACTGAAAACGGGTCACAAGAATGCAGAACATACTGCACTCCTGTAATCCATGGGAGAATTATAGCCAAAAAAGCTTTGGCTTTACTTTTCCTTTAAAATGGTACTTCTTGCAAACAACTAAATATAAAACAGCTAAAAATATAGATCAGTATAGTATGTATATTTACTATTTTACCAACCACAGGATGTAATTTTGACCAGCCATTTCTGCAATTAGAGATGAGCTTGGGCATCTTCCGAACTCATCTCTAACCCAAACACTGAACTCCAATGAGCTGGGGGCTGGGTCAATAACCTGACCTGCAGCTCAAAAACGGGAGTTTGGAGTCTGGGTTAGAGATGAGTTCGGAGGACGCCTGAGCTCATCTCCACTTGCAACACCTCTAGCATTCAGGATCATCACTATGCTACTCATTAAATTACTGCTTCCTGAGTCAGCTGTAGTTCTTCCTGGATTAGCTCCCTTCTAGTTAGCCAGAAGCGATCATGCTGATTCACTGTCTAATGATAAGGCTGAGGGCAGAGAGGTGCCATACAAAGCCACAAAGTTGAACCTAGCAGATGAAAAGCTGCCTGTGCATAGTGCCAGTGAGGCATAAATCACATGCTTAACTGTACAGAATTACAAATTCTTTTGCAGGAAAAACAGTAAACGTGTATTTAAAAGCTACATTTGGGTATTTACCTGGATGTTCACTTTAATGATATCAAACAAAGCTGTCTGTTTTAGAATATATATGGATAAAGACATCTTAAAAATATCTTACATGAATCTTATAGTATCCACTTGAGCTGCAAACCACAGAAATAATTACACATGATAAACAGCATTCACTCTTTTAAACCATAAAAGGCTGAAAATTGTGCTATTTTTGCAATTTCATAAAATGTTAAAGCTTAAAAATGTCAGGTTCCTTAGATTCAACTTTTATTGCACCATTTCTAACAATTCTACCTTTAGTAAATCAGCACTCAAAGTTGTTAAACCATTGTACATGATAATGGGTGGAAATGCTGTGAAGAGGCAGCTATCTACACGTGACAAGTCTTTTACGTTAGTAGACCACGGAGAAAATGTAGGGGGTCAGATCAAAGAAAGAAGTCTGATGCATTCCCTAATAAAAAAGCTCCAACAAATTAATTTCTAAACTCCTTTTTTTAATGTCTCTTAAGGTAATACAATGGCTCACATACAAGAAGCAGAGAAAACAAATGGAGGTGTTGCCCATAGGCAATCAGGATAGAAAATACATGGCAAGCGGCTACCTACTTGCTATGGACAACACATTTATTTTTTTTCCTATGAATGTAGGGCTTTAAAGTATTAACTTAATGTGCGGAGGCTGGTGCAAAACCATGCAGGGGTGAGGAGATGTGTTTCAACACCAAGGAATTGGACTTATAGAATCAAGGGTGGGTAATAACAAGACAAATCAATTATGACAGTATAAATTTGGAATCATTTTCATTAATGCCATGATGTTGTAATAATATAAGGCTTACGCACCGTAGTTTCCTCAGTCTGTTCTCTGTGCTCCTAGTTAGGTTATTTGTCTCTTCTTTCCATTTGCAGCTTGTTTTTTGCTGGGCAGTCAGTAGCCTCATAAGCTCTTGCGTGGACTTTCGGCAGCTGTCTTCCATCTCCTGTAGCTGTACTTCATAGCCTTGCTCCTTCACAGAAAATTCATGTGCCATGGTGCTTAACTAAAGAAAAAAAAAACAGAACGGACATCTTTATTCTGCCAGGAACAATAACTTATCTCCTGTATTCTGGGCTGCGTTGTTATACCAACAGTAGTAAAATATTGCTTTAGAGAATTTCTTAATCCATTTCAATAGTAAACTGGAAAGAGGGGTGAGCATCAAGTTGCACCCTGCAGGCACTGTAGCTGTACACTAAATAGCAGATTTTCTTTTTTCTGTAGAGCTTCCACGTGTATGTGACCTTTTCTGCCTCCGTGGGTTAGGAATTTCAGTTCATATACTTTTCCCCCATGTAAGTAGCTTGGGTGCATTTTTTTTTCACTGGCCATGACCTGATAGGTATGGGGAGAAGCCTCACACGACAGCTATCACATTAAATCTGAACATTAGATATGAGTATAGGAGAGAGACTTGCAGCATGACTTTTCAGAAACCCAACTCGACCACCTGCACTGCCTAACTCACACCAGCTCTGTTGACACAAAGATGCAAGAAAATAGTTTTAAGCTACTCACTCGCTGATATAGGGTTCCTTCTAGACTGGCATGGATTTGCCCCTCTTTATCTAGTTCTTGTTGGAGAGACTGTAGCCAGCACGTTACCTTCCTGCATATATGGTGGGAGTGTCCCAAGGTAAGACCTATTTGGCAGGATATCAGAGCCCAAATCAAGTTGATCCTTGACATTGACATTTCTGATTCACCTCTGCAGTTTTTACTTCATGCACCCTCCATTCCATTACAGAAAATGTGTCTTGCCGCACCTTTTGACTGCAGAATGGCGTCTGATCCTGATTTACTGGAAAAAGTCTCAAGCTTCCCTGTCCTGCAGAATGGGTAAAACTGGTGAACAATATAATGGAGGTGGAGGAATGGATGGCCACACATAAAGATCGATATAGCAAGTATTACGCTATGTGGGCCACTTGGATCCACTATACGTCTGGGCTTCATCACCTCTGACGGTGGCGGTGTGAGCACTGTCCAAAGATTTTCTTCCCTAGGCCCTAGTGTACTTGAACGTATATTTTTTAACAGCTATGATTTGAGCTGACTTGCTGCTTATGCCTATTACTCAGCATCCCAACCTTATCTGAGTGATTGTAAGTTGATTTATTTCTCATTTCTTAGTTTGTTTTTCTTTTGTATTGTTTTGTTCTTGGGTATTCATTACAGCACGTGCTACACAGCTGCCAAGAGCTTATACTAGAGTTGCACCGATACTGATATCGGTGTCGATACCAAGTACTTGCACAAGTACTCATGCAAAAGCTCCTGATACTGAAACAGATACCTTTGCAGTGCAATTTGAACAGGATTGCTATGCGATTCTTGTCCAAATCGCATGTGGTTTCCTGCGCAGCTCCTGTGTGAACCCAGACTTATCACTAGTGATTCACACAGGAGCGGTGCATGAAGGGTTCCCACCAGTTCCAGCTCCCGATCCCACTGTGGACATCAGCGGCTGTGGCTTGTGCTCCTCCTGCCTCTCCCATAGCTCTCTCCCCAGTGGATCCAGCCATCCACTGAACCTCCTCCCCATATCCCCCAGTTCCTCTGTACCAGACTGCCAATCCCCACTGTCAGACAAAAAAAAAAGCTGTTTCGCAGGTCTGGAGATTTGAAATTCCCATGGCTTTCTCTCTTCTCCTTGCAATGCTGATAGTACGGGCTAGATGGTTTCTGATTGATCAGCACCTTCCATGTGAGATGAACTAATCACTGTGCTGCTTCTTCTTTCACTTTCCAGTCGTAGGCTGGGGAAGGTCCAGGTTGACCTCAGCTTAGAAGAAATGGGATAAATGAAGCTGGCCATCAGACTGAAGACATCTAGTGGCAGAAAAAAATACTGCAGGTAAACTAGTTCTATTATTTTATTAACTTTTATATTGTTATTCTTGACTAGAGTTTTGCTACAATTAGATGTTGCCCAATATTTAAAGCGATTCAAAAGGTTAATTTTTTTTGGAAAATAACAAACATGTCTATGCTTACCTGCTGTGTGCAGTGGTTTGGTTTTGCACAGAGCAGCCTGAATCCCCCTCTTCTCGGGTCCCCGGAGGCTCTCCTGGCCCCTCCCTCCTGTTGGGTGCCCCCACAGCCAGCAGCTTGTTATGGGGGCACCCACTGCTCCATGTGTCCATTCATCCATTCACTCACAGCAATCAGCTTGCTATGGGGGCACCCTCTCTCCTCATTGGCTGACGGGCTGTGATTGACAGCAGCGGGAGCCAAAGGCTCCCGCTTGCTGGCTCAGCCAAAGAGGCGGCAGAGACCCGGGGACAGCCGAGGCTGTCGTTCACATTGCTGGATTATGATGAGGCTCAGGTAAGGATTGGGGGGGGGGGGGCTAGGGGCACTGCTGCACACAGAAGGTTTTTTATCTTCATACATAGTATGCATGAAGGCAAAAAACCTTGAGCCTTTACAACACTTTAATGGTAACTCTGGACAACATTTTTTTTTTACTGAATTAAGAAGGGGATGATGATTTTTACTGCTGTCTGTGAACCTAATGGGAAGATTTCTTTTCACTTCCTCTCCCAATGACAGGTAGTCTCCAGGACTGTTTATACTCAATTCATTCACTATGGGATTGTCAAGGTCCTACCTTTTTGAGGTTATGTTATTCCATCTTGGATTCTGCTGTGCATGATGGGAGTCCTTTTTATGCCTTCAGGTCTCTGAGGTCCACCCCCCAGAGGGGCGTGGCTGATGACATATAAGCTGTGGGCCGCACATGTCTCTTTGCACTTGTGTCTTGTGTCTTTGTGTTACTATTACTCTGTTCTGACGCTCGTGACTCTCCTGGTATTCTGATTCGGCTTGTGACTTGACTATTCTTTGCTCCTTTGATCTGACCCTCTGTTGCTGAACCCGTCTTGTGACCTGTGATTCTCGTCTGCTGTCCTGTACTGTTTTGTCCTGTTGTTGTTGACCCCGGCTTGTCTGACTACTCTTTTGTTTCTTCCACCAGCTACACGCCATTGGCGGCTATGAGCATTACCGCAGCTGAGGTGTCTCGGGGGCCGCGACCTGGTTCCTGGCTGCGTCAAGTCCATCCCCACATGGGGGCCCTGGTGAAGGGCAGCCTGGGACTTAGACTCCGCGCCCTGAGGGACTGGTCTGTGGGTGGTGGTTGTCGTCAGCCATTGTTAGACACAGGGATTCGTTTTTTTTTTGTATTCTGCTGATTCTGCTGTTCTCTATCACCTCCTTCTGTCAATGTCCCCAATGCAGTTGATGACTTTGTAACAGTGTTGGCAGCTACTGCACATGCTCAGTTTTCAGTGGATTGCTGAGCATTTTCTCCCTATCACATCTGAGCAGCCCAAGTGACTATAGTCACACATGTGGGCACATTCACTGTGTTAATTGACACTTCCCTTCCCCACTCCTCCTTCATGCTCATTAAACACAATGGAGGTGGGATATTACATTTTGATTGATGGAGGCTTCACCTCTCTGTTACTGTAAGACACAGGCTGGAGGGGTGTGACAAAGCCTGTGACTGGCAGAAATCCACCCACACCATGTTATTGCCAAAAATAATAAAGATTTGATTTCAACAATATATCTGTATGATGATTTAAAACAGTTTATTGATATTAATTATTTATTTTTACTCTGTATTCCAAAGGCTGTTTTTTAAATTTTGAACATTTGACCTACAGCAGAGGACTAGAAGCTCCTCCTGTTTATGTTTCTCTGCAGGCAGGATGGAACAGAGCTGGGTCATGTGACAGCTGTATATTATTTAGGAAAAAACGTACTAAGATTTTTTTTATTAAAATAATTACAGTGCCATCATTCCCATACAGATAAAACAGGGACAATGTAAATTAAACAGTGTGTGTTTAGTATAACTGTAAATCTTAATTTCCTTTACCTTGGAAAGCTAATAATATGAAAATTAGCAGCCGATTTCTGAAAGCTTGTCATGCATTGAGATAAAAGACAACAATTCACTATAAAGCAGAATAGATAGCAGGGAGGCCCACGTTTTTGAAACAAAACGTCACCAGTATCCCTGCACACATAAAACACATCTGCTAATATGTGATTATTTGAACTGTAAAGTAGGCAGCCAATCACTGTAGCAGATATAAAGGAATGGGACTAAAAACACCACTGAGATCTGTGGTCGTTATCTTCTGCACTCTATCAAATACACAAAACAGCAATGAACATGCTGAAGAGAGAGGAAGAGAAGGAGAGAAGCCTCACAAAAGGATTGGAAATGTATACTTGTGCTTCTGACTGTCAGATATGCCCTGCTTACACTCCCTTAATGATTACACAGTTCTAGCTGTGTCTCTGTGGAGAGTGTTGAACCACTGAAGAGATACTGCTGCTTCCAGACAGAGAACTGAAGTCCTCTCTACAGCTGAATGCCAGGATAGAAGAGTTTCAACTGGCAATAGTGAACACATCCGTAGTATTCAGTGCAGCTTGCTAATTTGTTTTCAAACTTCAATTGGGCATTTGTGATTTTTAAAGAATACATCACTAGGCTAAAGGTTTTTTACATTTGCCTGGAGTCCAGCTTTAAATTCTTTTTTGCACACTCTCCCCTAAGAGATATTGCAGGTGCAGCAAAAAGCTTCTTGCTGCCTGATACTGAATAGGGACAAATAATATTCATTTTAACACTCTTATATAGAACGTGCTGCTCATGAGCTCCAAGTGCCTACTTTGTACAAATTCCTACATATACCATCTGTCTGTTTGGGTGATTTGTATGGATACATTTGGTATTTTTATTGTAATTTATGGAAAATACTCAGTTTTCCAATTACCGTTCTGAAATGTACATTTAAAAAAAAAAAACAACTTTGATTGGACTACTCGGGCACTATCATTGAACCAAAGCTCTCTTTTCACTTAGCTTCCTACACAAAAGGCTAGCTCAGAGATGGGCAACTTTTGGTGCTACAGCTGTGCCAAACCATATCTGACATGCTAAGCAGAAGTATTCCATATTCCTGAAAGTTCGATGCTACCCATGCATGCAATAAATATGTTGTACAATCCAAAAGCTTCTCATAAAATCATGCAACATTCATACTGTGTACGGAGTGAAAACTAGCGCAGCACATGAATTCTGTTTACCAGGATGTCAGCTGGACTGCCTGAAAAACATTTTGGCAATTGTATCAGCACTGGTTAAAAAGATGCTGCAGCAGACATTGTAGATAGTGCTCAATGTGAGGCTCACCTAAAATGTACAGTCAACCAGATGTAAATATGAAGAAAACTATTTCAAAGCCTTATCATACTTAATAGCAGCTATTCAACATATGTTATGCATTCCATCATAAAACTAATGCCAGACAGGGACTAAATACCAGCTTTATCACATAAAGTATCATAGCCCACATCTATGAACATGACAAAACTTTGCCATTGCAGCAAAGAAGTATTGCGAATCTTCAACTATTGATTCTTTTACAAGCATTGTCGAAGGTTCTATATATTTTTACTTGCTGTTAAAGTGACATTAAACTCTGGTTTAAAAAAGAAATTCTATTCAAGCATATTTTTAACTCAAAAACGCTCTATTGCTTTCAGCCACCTCCAAATCTCTAAATTCCTTTTTTTTTTTTGTTAGGAGGGAGGCCATGTTCATTCTCTAGGTTCCCACCGTATGTAGGAATGTAGCTACACTCTCTTGCCTGCTCCCAAGATGGACTAGGGACTATAGGATTTGTAATGTGCATAGAGCAGTACACATGACTGCAACTGCTCGATCCAAACAGACAGAATTAAAGGGGAAAAGAAGATGTTTGGGAACTCAGAGAGAACATTACAAGGAGGCAGAAAACCAAAGTAAGAAACAATTTATTGGAAAATAAATTATAGGGCCATTAAGTGGTGGAGGTGTATGGATTATTTTTTGGAGAATAAAGTTAATGTTTCTTGCCACCTTAATGCAGGGCTTTTTGAAGTTAAATAGCCCAAAGGAGATAGCAGGTAACTAAGTCAAGTTAGCCATCGAGGCTGCCAGTGTTATTAGATTCTTGGAAAGAGTTAGATTGTATAATACAATATAGTAGGCATAGTTGTATGATTTACATGCAGAGTAAGGTAAGTACTTAAGTACTGAAATAAACCCCTGTATCAGTGTGCATGTGTAAAGGCTAAATTCACATTTGGGAACATGTTACACCCATATAAGTATATGAGGCAGTCATATTTGTGCATTATATATACAGTGGATATCAGGGGCGGACTGACCATTTGGAAACTCGGGCACTGCCCGAGGGCCCGGGGTCAGTAGGGGGCCCCATGACATGCTCCTGGTACTTTTTTCATAGGCTTTTTTGAGTCTGGGCAAGGACACGGGGCCCCATGATCCCCTATTGCCCGGGGGCCCCATGAGTTGTCAGTCTGCCTATGGTGGATTTTAAAAAGTCTACACGCCCCTGTTAAAATGTCAGGTTTCTGTGATGTAACAAAATTAGACAAAGATAAATCATTTCAGAGCTTTTTCCACCTTTAATGTGACCTATAAACTGTAAAACTCAATTGAAAAACAAACTGAAATCTTTTTTTTTTGGGGGGGGGGGGGGGTAAACATAAACTAAAACAAAGTGGTTGCATAGGTGTGTGCACCCGCTTATAACTGTGGATGTAGCCGTGTTCAGAATTAAGTAATCATATTCAAAATCATGTTAAATAGCAGTCAGTACACACCTGCCATTATTTAAAGTGCCTCTGATTAACCCCAAATAAAGTTCAGCTGTTCTAGTAGGTCTTTCCTGACATTTTCTTAGTCGCATCCTACAGCAAAAGCCATGGACCTTAGAGAACTTCCAAAGCATCAGAGGGATCCCATTGTTAAAAGGTATCAGTCAGGAGAAGGGTACAAAAGAGTTTTTAAGGCATTAGATATACCATGGAACACAGTGAAGACAGACACCATCAAGTGGAGAAAATATGGCACGACAGTGACATTACCAAGAACTGGACGTCCCTCCAAAACTGATGAAGACGAGAAGAAAACTGGTCTGGGAGGCTACCAAGAGGCCTGCAATAACATTAAAGGAGCTGCGGGAATAACTGGCAAGTACTGGCTGTGTGGTACATGTGACAACAATCTCCTGTATTCTTCATATGTCTGGGCAATGGGGTAGAGCGACAAGATGGAAGCCTTTTCTTATGAAGAAAAACATCCAAGCCCGGCTACATTTTGTAAAAACCCATTTGAAGTCTCTCAAAAGCATGTGGGCAAATGTGTTATGGTCTGACGAAACCAAGGTTGAACTAATTCTAAAAGATATGTTTGGCGCAAAAACAACACAGCAGATCACCAGAAGAACACCATACCCACAGTGAAGCATGGTGGTGGCAGCATCATGCTTTGGGGATGTTTTTCTTCAGCTGGAACTGCAGCCTTAGTCAAGGTAGAGGGAATTATAAACAGTTCCAAATACCAGTCAATATTGTCACAAAATCTTCAGGCTTCTGCTAGAAAGCTGATCATGAAGAGGAACTTCATCTTTCATCATGACAACGACCCAAAGCATACACCCAAATCAACAAAGGAATGTCTTCATCAGAAGAAGATTAAAGTTTTGGAATGGCCCAGCCAGAGCCCAGACCTGAATCTAATCGAAAATCTGTGGGGTGATCTGAAGAGGGCTGTGCACAGGAGATGCCCCCGCAATCTGGCAGATTTGGAGTGTTTTTGCAAGGAAGAGTGGGCAAATATTGCCAAGTCAAGATGTGCCATGCTGATAGACTCATACCCAGAGTGCTGTAATAAAATCAAAAGGTGCTTCAACAAAGTATTAGTTTAAGAGTGTGCACACTTATGCAACTATATTATTTTACTTTTATATTTTAACTTCCCTCCAGGTAAAAGATTTCAGTTTGTTGTTCAACTGAGTTGTAGAGTTTATAGGTTACATTAACAACTTGCCTACTGGACACTTATACCCCCTTCCTGCCCAGGGCAATTTTCAGCTTTCATCGCTGTCACATTTTGAATGACGATTGCGCGGTCAAGCAACACTGTACCCATATGAAATTTTTATCTTTTTTTCACACAAATAAAGTTTTCTTTTGGTTGTATTTAATCGCCACTGGGTGTTTTACTTTTTGAGCTATAAACAAAAAAAGAGCAAAAAATTTGGAAAAGAAAACGTTTTTTTTTTTGTTTCTATAATAAAATTTTGCAAACAGGTAATTTTTCTCCTTCACCGATGTGCACTGATGAGGCTGCACTGATGGGCACTAATAGGCAGCACTGATAGATGGCACTATTGAGCTGGCACTGATATGAAGCGATGATGGGCACTGATAGGTGGCACTACTGGGCAGCACTGATGGGTGGCACTGTTAGGCACTGATGGGCACAGGTGGGTGGCACTGCTGGGCGCTGATAGGCACAGGTGGGTGGCAATGCTTGGCACTTGTGGGAGGCACTGATGGGCACAGGTGGGTTGCATTGCTGGGCACTGATGATCAGTGCTGATCTGTTTTCTGACAATTGCCTGTTATCGGCAGTACATTCCTCACGCTGTGACAGCATGAGGAAAGTGCAGCCGACAACCAGCAACTGAATTTACCCGGTGATCTGCTGTGACATTGGACACAGCTGATCACGAGGTAAAAGGCCGCTGTGATTGGCCTTTTACCACATCACGTGTTCAGCTGTGTTCGTAGGAAATAGTGATCACAGAGATCGCTGGGGGTGTGAGCAGGAGGGCGCGTTCTGGGAGGACGTCATATGACGCCCTCCCAGAACTGGACAACCGTGCTGTAGCCATCATTCGGCTATAGCCCGGTTTTCAAGTGTTAAAGGTGGAAAAAGCTTTGAAATTATTTATCTTTGTCTCATTTTTTTACATCAGAGAAACCTGACATTTTAACAGGGGTGTGTAGACTTTTTATATCCACTGTACATGCTGGTTACCAGCAAAGGGGTTGTTTTTAGGCACAATTCTTGACACAGTGCAAGTCAACCAAGTTCTGTTGGTAGACTTTGACTGAAAAAGGTGTTGTACAGTTGTGCAGCAGGTGTTCAAGGCTGCAGGCATACAGAGCGCCCTAAAGCTGTCCATACATGGATTGAAATTGAGCCGGTTCAATAGGGACCGGCCAAATTTTGATCCATGTATGGGCACTGTGGTTGTATGTAAGTCTATCTACAGACTGCCTTCAGTACAACCGCCCTGCTGGAAAATTTCCTTTTGATCAATGCTGCAGGCTATAGCCTGCAGCACTGATCAGTGTATTTTGATACACTGGGGAAGCCTCGCCGTTGTTAGAATACAATGACATAGAGGGAGAGATTTCCCCATCCACCTCGAATGTTTGGATGATGGAATCAGGACAGTTTTTCTGTTCAACCTACCGGTTGAATGGAACAAAAGAAAAATGGACTCATCTACAGCATAGCCAGCTTTAGAGGAAGAACTTAGATACAGGTATATATACAAATATAGCAGAGTAACATTGTACTTTACCAGTGTGAAAAAAAAATCACATGAAAAATACTTTCTGGTATATTATATAAAAGTGTCTTTCATAAGAACTGCTTGTACTGCCTCACACACAAAGTTTTCTCTAAATTTCAGAGCGGGATTCACTGTGGTTAGTTGCTATGGCGCCATAAAGACAGTTCTTTATGAATTACACAGAAAGGAGCCATAAAATGAATACTTACTAAAAATAGGCAATAGTGTCCCTTTAAAAAGAGAGAAATAGTCACTTATTTTTGTTATATTGCTGCTACTGGATGAACATGTCCAAATGAATCTAGCAATACCTGAAATCTGAGTTTTTGCTGAGCCTCCATGGCAGACTTTTTCCACTCTTCCACTTCTTTTCGTAAGTGTTCATTCTCATGCACCAGCTTTAGCCTCTCCTCACTCACACAAACTGCTCTCTTTTCTTTCTGACTCCAAAATTTCATTTAGCTTTTGAATAGTTTCCTGACACCTGGACAGCTGCTCTTCAGAGCTAAAAAAAAAAAAAAAAGAAAAGAAAACATGCATACGTTATCCAGCAAAATATCATTAATACTGTTTTAAAAATTAAAGTCAGTACAGAAAAATTAGACAAAAATGTGGGATATTAAATTAGATTTAAACAGTGACTAAAATCCCATCATAGGGTTTAATAGATATATGTTATTTCAAAAGCCATTTTTAGAATCTATGCCAAATATGCAGCATTCACAAAAATAATACTCAATGCTATAAAGGTCATTTTTCATATACTTTCTGTTAAGGGGTGACAATTGTCTCCCAATAGTACTCATCATGCTTTGTCACACTGTCATTGAAACCCCTGTAGGAGACAAGAGGCCAAGCTAAGATACATTGCACAGGTATGTTCCACCATTGCCACTTCCAGGAAGCCAGTACTAAGCAATTATATGCAGATGATGGGCATTACAGTGACAAAGAGGTTAGCACTTCCTCTTAGCAGCACTAGAGTTGCTGGTTTGAATCCCAACCACAACACAACCTGCCTGGAGTTTGCATGTTCTCCCTGTGCCTGCGTGGGTTTACTCCCACACTCCTAAAACATGCTGGTAGGTTAATCAGATCCTGTCTAAATTGGCCCTAGTATGTGCATGACTGAATGTGAGTTAGGTACCTTAGATTGTAAGCTCCTTGAGAGCAGGGACTGATGCAAATGTACAATATATATGTAAAGCACTGCGCAAACTGATGGTGCTTTACAAGTACCTATAATAAGAAAAAAAAAAAAATGACGTTGGAGGGCATGCATGTAGACAGAAGGAGATGAGATTTAGGCCCCATTCACACTTCTCAATTTGAAATCGCATTATTCCTATGGTTGCACACAGAGAAGGGGAGGAGCCAGGATTGCTGGCAGAGGACCCCAGAAGAGGAGAATCTGAACTGCTATATGGAAATGGAGGTAATTGTTTTGAATCTGGTGAAGAGGCTCCCCCTCTTCTATGCTCCATTAACACAGATAGTGCTGCTTAGCCTTGCCGTCTGTTTCCTCATCACAGGATTTGACTGACAGCAGTGGGAACCAGTATCTCCGGCAGCTCTCGGCCTAGCCTGTGAGAGTGGGGAGAAGAGGAGAGAGCCACTGGAGACAGGCACAGCATCAAAGATTGAGTGAGAACTCAAGTGTGTGTGTGTGTGTGTGTGGGGGGGGGGGGGGGGTGGAGGAGATACTGAGATACTGTAACCTAAACATTTAATTTTTTAACTTAATGTGAGCAATGTATTGAGGTAAAACATATTTAAGCTTTAGAAATGTTTTATTAGTGTCACATTGTAAAAGTGGTGCTATTAACAACTACCTGAATCTGTCACACATTTCAGCAAAGTTACTGAAACAGACGAAAGAGATTTTTGAATTCAGTGCAGAGGCCATTTTTAAGGGTCATACCACCAGAAAAAAGTGTTGTTAGGGATTTCTTGAATTCCCCCAAGAGTTGATTATGTTGTGTAAATACTGTTCCTAGATTGCAAGCTCTAACGAGCAGCAGGCCCTCTGTTTCCTCTTGTACCAAATGGTATTGTAACTGTAATGTCTACCTTCATTTTGTACAGCGCTGTGCAAACTGTTGGTGCTATATAAATCCTGTATAATAATAAAATAATACTGTTTTCAGCTGTTTTCTACATAAGGAAAACAATAAGTTTGGGTCAGTAATATTTTATTTTTAAGTTTATAATATTTTTTTTCAGTTAAGGTTTATTAACTCTTTTCTACTATATGTAGGCAATAAGATCTTGTTTTATAGATAAACATTTAGTACATAAAAGAATTCCCAGAGCCCACGTCCCAGAGCACAAGTCCCTGAGCTCTGTTTTTAAAGCAAAGGAGACAGGGGAAAACATGGGGCTGGGGAGCTGCAATGTTCTTTTTTTCTTTTCAATGCCAGAGTTGGGCTTTTAGTTATGACTATAATAAATACAGAAAATATATACAAACCCATTATACATCTCTATTACCAATTCAATATATGACCAAAAACAATAATCTTTCACATTGGCAAGCATAATTTCAAACTGCCAGCAAACCAGGGTTCATTTTACAGAGGGTAAAAAACTTCCTTCAAAGTAATTTGCATCATTTCAATATGCACTGCTTTTCAGTCATCACACTTTTGCAAGACAAAATACAGACTGAACCTATTCTCCTAAATGGCACCGATCAGCAGGCTGTGATCCATGTGTTCTGCCTAGGAATAATGTGCTAATCAAAAGTGACTGCAGGTGAAATCAGAATGTAATATTGTCATCTTGCAGTTACTAATTCAGTGCATGGAACAATAGCTTAAGTGTGTAAGCGCTGATTTGCATCTGATCCAAACAGCGGAGCTCTTTAGGTAGTCTGGATCCAGACAGAAAAAAAATGCCCTTTGGAGAATTACAATTGTAACTGCAATCACAACTTTTCAGAAACTAGGCATTATATATAGATTTATGCAGATGGAAAGCAGAAAGCGCTGATAAAAAAAAACGCAAAAATTCTACAGTAGAAAAAATGAAGAGAGTAGCATAAAATGGATAAGAACCATAAAAACAGCAGGCTGTAAATGATGGTCTAATCATAGTTATTTTTCTCCTGTGACTAATCACGTTATTTTTGTAAATAAAATATACTACAGCAAATGACGGGGTGTACACAGTGTTCTGATACTGGAGATATAAATATCTCCTACCAATAAAGACTACACATTCATACATATATATTAGACACATACAAACATAGAAGCAGACACAAATACATATATACATACAGACAGGTGTGGAAGATGTCAGCTTGAAATACAAAATATCAGTGTATGTTAGGCTCCATGTACACTGGCAAGTGGAAATCTCTGCTTCAACAGGAGTTTTGTGTTTTGTTGCCTGTAGAAGCAGCTCAGTGTATACTATTGTGTCTATGCACATTAGGACAATTAGAGGCATATTTTAGGCTCAACGTTTAAAGGCAGGAAAAAGAACCCTTTTGGTTTGCGTTTTTGATTGGAGCTTTCTGGCAGTAAAAGCTCCAAAGTGTGTACAAGAATGGTCTATATCAGGGTTTTTTTCTGCCAAGGGAACTGCCGTTTATTTTAACCACTTGCCCTCCAGAGGATTTACCCCCCTTCCTGACCAGGCCATTTTTTGCTGTTCGGCACTACGTTATTTTCATATTGGTAATTGCGTGGTCGTGCAATGCTGTACCCAAATTACATTTATGTCCTTTTTTTTCACAAATAGAGCTTTCTTTTGGTGGTATTTGATCACCTCTTCAGTTTTTATTTTTGCGCTATAAACAAAAAAAGACTAAAATTAAAAAAAAAAAACTATATTTTTCACTTTTGGTTATAAAAAATATCCAATAAACTCAAAGTTAGTCATACATTTAGGCTAAAATGTATTCCGCTACATGTCTTTGGTAAAAAAAAAAATCTCAATACATGTATATTAATTGGTTTGTGTGAAAGTTATAGTGTCTACAAACTATGGTATATACAGTATCTCACAGAAGTACACCCCTCACATTTTTTGTAAATATTTTATTATATCTTTTCATGTGACAACACTGAAGAAATTACACTTCACTACAATGTAAAGTAGTGAGTGTACAGCTTGTATAACAGTGTAAATTTGCTGTCCCCTCAAAATAACTCAACACACAGCCATTAATGTCTAAACCGTTGGCAACAAAAGTGAGTACACCCCTAAGTGAAAATGTCCAACTGGGCCCAAAGTGTCAGTATTTTGTGTGGCCACCATTATTTTCAGGCACTGCCTTAACCCTCTTGGGCATGGAGTTCACCAGAGCTTCACAGGTTGCGACTAGAGTACTCTTCCACTCCTCCATGACGACATCACGGAGCTGGTGGATGTTGGAGACCTTGCGCTCCTTCATCTTCCGTTTGAGGATGTCCCACAGATGCTCAATGGGGTTTAGGTCTGGAGACATGCTTGGCCAGTCCATCACCTTTACCCTCAGCTTCTTTAGCAAGGCAGTGGTCGTTTTGGAGGTGTGTTTGGGGTCCTTATCATGTTGGAATACTGCCCTGCGGCCCAGTCTGCGAAGGGAGGGGATCATGCTCTGCTTCAGTATGTCACAGCACATGTTGGCATTCATGGTTCGCTCAATGAAGTGTAGCTCCCCAGTGCCGGCAGCACTCATGCAGCCCCAGACCATGACACTCCCACCACCATGCTTGACTGTAGGCAAGACATGCTTGCCTTTGTACTCCTCACCTAGTTGCCACCACACAAAACTTGACACCATCTGAACCAAATAAGTTTATCTTGGTGTCATCAGACCACAGGACAGGTTCCAGTAATCCGTGCCCTTAATCTGCTTGTCTTCAGCAAACTGTTTGCGGGCTTTCTTGTGCATCATCTTTAGAAGAGGCTTTCTTCTTGGATGTATTGGTAAAACCTGCTGCGCTTATATGGATGTGCCTAAATCCAAGCTGCTCTCACCCAATCTGACCCAATTGGTATGTGCAAATCAATATAAATGAAAATGGTGAAGCGCTATACAATAAATAAATGACAAAGATAAACAATAAACATACTATTTTCCACAAACAGTGCTCTGATCCAATCAGGATCCAATCTGTGAATACTCAAGTGCAAACTGGTGAAAAATCAGGATTGACCTGTTTGAATACACACTTAAAGAGTGACTCAAAATAAATATATATATGAATATATGTACCCTACCCCCCCACGTCCCAATAATGGGACTATTCAAAACCAAAAATAAAAGTGTGACAAGTGAATCACCTTCCTGGGGAAAAATCAATAATAGTGATTAGTGCCAATCATTGCACAGTGGCTAAATGGTTAGCACTTCCGCCTGGCAGCACAAGGGTCGTTGGTTCGAATCCCAGCCATGGCACCCCTGCCTGGAGTTTGCATGTTCTCCCTGTGCTTGCGTGGGTTTCCTCCGGGTACTCCGGTTTCCTCCCACACTCCAAAGACATGCTGGTTGGTTAATTGGCTCCTGTCTAA